CCGTCATTCTGGATACTGCAGTGCACATACTACATACAATTTCTCATTTAGCAACTGATTTATCTAATGTCTTAGATGCAGAAACAACTTGGTGGTTAAATGAGGAGAAAATATATTCATATATTCTCCTCAAATATAAAGCTAGAAGAGGTGCAAAGGGAACTAACAATAAGAGTATACCATTCCTACGTTCTTTGTAAGTTTTATTTTTCTTCTACAAAATGTTCCACAACACACATACATAAATACAAATAGGCATATACACTAGTACTCAAAAGAGATGTGCCATGTACTTGTAGAAAATCTTTTACTTTTTTGAAAGATGTCTTTGCAACACTTTAGTGCTGTAGCCATCCCTTTTGTGCCCAGTGGCATCTTCTCACCACTCTTCCCTTGGCATTCAGATCATAAGAGCAGTAAGCATCCCTCTCTTCCGGTTCACCTCAAATGGCAGACAGAAGCTAGTATGAGGACTATAGCTCCCTTCAGCTTTGAGGAAGGTAATCGAGAGTATGTCCTACACTGGTTACCAGTTTGTCTCCAGTAGACAGAATCTGTGATCCCTTAAAACAGCAGCTGGTTTTATTGGTTCCTCTGTCTTGTTTCTACCTTACTGATGAGACTTTCCCCACCAAAATGAAGTTCTTTCTGTCAAATGCTTGTTTCTTGAGTAGCTTCTATTTCTGGAAGAAACTAAACTAAGGTCTATGTCACCATACTACTTCTAGTAACTGTGGAATGTTTATAATTTGAACCTAAACTTTAGGCTAAAATTACAAATAATTTTGCTTACTCAGACTTCTTATTGTGATTTCTTGCGTATACAAGGAGCTATAGTGACTTGTAAACATAACAGATGAGCTGAATACGGACATGTAAAAAGTGCCTGTATGATTTCATGAAATTTAAATCAATGGAACAAAATACTTAATTTGTCATCAATTCAACTATTAAACTGTTTTAATCATTTTGATGCTATCTGTCACAAGTGTGAAACGGAGTCACCAACACAGTAGGAAGAGTTTCTGACTTGTACCTATCTTAAACTCTGACCACAGCAGTTCATCAATCTTTCAACTTTCAAGCAGTTATTCGCAAATAGGAGATACATAAGCAAAACACTTTTCTTAATATTTAGTATTAAAAAGTGGGATTGGGAGGAAATCTATTGGTAACCAAATCCACCCACCAGCTAAGGAAATGAGTCCTTTCCTGGCTCAATCAGAGGCTCATCTAAAAGTCAGCAGAAATTGAAGGCTGCAGACTACTCTCCCCACTTCTGTTTCCATGGAAATAGGCTTTAGATTAAGGGGGGAAGGGGATGGGGTTAGTAGCTTTCAAATAATCATTCAAAATCATGATTAGGTTTTTAGAGCTGCCTTTTAGGTGATTATTTTGTAGCCTCTTAACCCCCTTTTGCCAGTCTGTTTCCATGGAAATGTGACAAAAAATGGCTGTCCAGGGCTCAAGGAAAGATTATTAGCATTCTTGTGAATTTCAGCTTTGGCTGCAGCCTAGATTGAGGAGGATTATTTCATTTATCAGATTCATATATTAACCTACACTGTTTCACTTACTATGATTTTTCTTCATGTCTACTTTCTTCAAAATTTCTCCACACATGTTTATAGCTATTATCAAATCAAACAGAGTATTTGAGGCAACACTATAAAAGACCTCAGTTTTAAATTCAAGCACATGAGCCAAGACGTGTAACTGCCAGGAGTGCTAGCACCTTTTGAGACCTGCAGAAGAAATTATTATGTACTTACTGGACACTATAGCTATTAGACAGACATTGCAGATAAGCAACCAGGATGACCTTAACTATTTCACAAGAATGCAGAGAATCAATGGTTCAGAGCAACTAGCTTGTATCAGCTGATTAGAAGCTCTATTATTCAATTAGCAATAAAAATTTAAACTAAAAATTGCCTTATATGAGGTGTTTATCATTATTATTGGCAGTGATATTATTCAAGGTAAGAGACAAAAACAAAAATTTTTGTTAAAAAACAAAAGTGCATATACTTGGATCTTTTTTCCTATAAAAGTCATTGCAAAATCAAAATCATTGTTATAAATAAGTACATTATGTTTAAAAAAAAAAAAAAAACAGAGAAAGAAGGTATATGGCCCTTGGTTAGAATCCCCGGCGAAATATCTTGTGTTGAATATGAAAAAGTAACAGCATGCTACATACTTAGTTCTATTCCATTCTCCTCTCTGATTTGCTTGACAGCCCAATCTACCGTTTTTGCTCTGAAAAATCTTAAAGTTCTGATTGACCTTATAAACTACCTCCATTCTACCATTTTATTTTATAGTTTGGAGTTTTTTTCCTATAGACTTCTGTCTTCTTAACTTCAACTTGACCAAAAGTACATTTCAGTCAGTAATGATCAGATGCAGAGAGGTTCCAAACTTAAATTAAGAAGAATAACTTACTATAGAAACCAAGCCATACAGTTATATGTAGAAGATAGGCAAGGCAACGATCCTGAGAAACTTCAGAAGATTGTTTAATCTAGCAGTTAATTGGAAAGATTCTCACCCTGACTAACTATATGTACTGATACCTGTGAACTAAGCTACTGCACTGCAGATGGTAATTTGTAATAGTAGTTTTATGCTTGGAGAACCTGTCATCTGGTCTTCTGAATATGGGCTGCTTATCATGACATGCCAGTTGCTGCTATGATGTCTCTCGTGTAGATGGTAGTTCAAGAACAAGGGGGTGGTGAATGAAAGCAAGAGACAGGAAAAGGAATGTTGTGGGACTGTCCTGCTTCAAGGTTGTATATGGTGAGATTTTTGGACTTATGTGTAAACACAAGAAGTATATAATTCTTTATGCCTATTTTTAAAATATATTCTAATTTTTAAATGTTTTCTATCATATTCTGTAGGGACTTAAAGTTCAACATATCAATACTTGATGAAAAATACCTGTTCCATATTATGCCTAAGATGTTTGATATGCAGACAGATAGTGAGGTTAAGCTTAACAGCCTAAGTTGTATGGTAATAACAATAAGCTTATCTTCTGGATGGTTAACAACCTAAGTTTGCAGACCAAAATTTGAGAAAAAGGAGGGCTGAAAGGAAAGCCAATATTTTGGCCCTAGCCTTCTAAGGTCAATTAAGACTCAGGACATATGAGAACTTGTACTGTAATGTCATGTAACTTAGTAGTGTCCCAAATTTTCTGATCAAGGAGATTATGGGGCCAAAGAGGAAAGTGATCGATGATGTAGAGTGTACCTAAGGAGAGTCACATGGAGAGAAAACATTTTCTCAGGCTTTCACAGAGAGCACATTGGCCAAGCAATGGCCATGACTCATCCACATGGCTGACACTGGACAAAGGTTCTACAATCTGAGGTACAGGATCTCAGGATAAATCCTGAGGGGATTTCACTGACCTTATCAGACCAAAAAGCTACAACCCTTGTTGCATAGGTCCTGCTTTACCTTGGTCTTAACAACCCAGCAGAAAAGTATAAAAATGAAATAAAAGAAATAAAGCCATGCTGTTATGTTGAGCTGTAGGGGACTCAGGTCAACAATTTCTGACATTGCCAGTCAAGCGGAAGACCCAATACTATTATGGGCTACTGGACTCTTTTAGAATATTTTGCTGAATTTACATACCTATAATATTCAAATAACGGAACTTAACAAAAAAAGGTATACAGATGAATGTCCATTTTGTATCTATGTATTCAAAGTGGTTAGGATAGATATATAGTTACGTTCTCTTAATGAATAGAGTGCTTTGTTCTAATGGTGTTTGTAAATAGGATATCATGTCCAAATCTTGTACAGCAATTAACCACTAGGAAGAATGTATGCAATGTGTTAATTATTGAAACTGTCCTACCAATTTGAAAATACATAAATAAATTAAAAATAAAAAAAGAAACTAATCTCATTTTCAAGTAGATCGAAACCACAGCAAAGTAAAGCAGTCCAATGAATTCTTCAAATCATAATCACTATTCCCCAACATAATTTACCATAGTAGTTAAACATACAATTTTAGAAAGCAGTAACTGGCCCTTAAGCCAAATCTGGTATGCTCTTGTTTGTGTAAATGGGGTCTTACTGGAACAAAAGAAAACATTCACATTTGGGTTTGTTCCTTCATTTGTTTTGTTTTGTCTTAATTACCTATGGCTGCTTTCCCACAGAAAAGGTCAGAGTTGAGCACCAAAGAGAAGACATGGTTTGCAACTCCTCACTATTGAGAAGAAAATATTTCCTGAGCCTGCCAACACCAGGCACCTGCTCCAAGACTAAACCCGCCATCACCTAACCTTGTGAAATTGAGTTAGCCTGGCCTATTTTGTTATCAGAATTAGATGAATAACTATTTGTAAGTTATTTATAATAGTGCTTGTCAATTACTACTGCATAAATATTAGTTATTATCTAGAAGTTAACACTTTGTAAGCACTTTGTAAATATCAGTGACTTACCATTGTCACCACCATATAGGGTAATTTAGACAATTCAGTGTAAATAATTTTAAGAAATCTACCCATGACACTTGATTGTTCAATATCAACAGTGATCAATGGCTGTTAAATATTTTTTAATTCAAATTATATTATTTTCATTTAATATATATTTGGATCTGTTTACCAATGAAAAATAAACATTAAATGCCTGATTTACAGAAGATAATTCATTTTGAGGATTTTAAATCGCTTCACATTTCAAACATAAGTTCTAGTGTAGTTGCTAGGTAAATAATTGTGAAGCAGAGGTGATCTAAACATATAATATTATGTGGTCCTAGAAATTTTACTTATAAGTAGCACAATTTCCAGAGAAGAAATTTTGTAACATGTGTTTACTTTTATTTTTCAACTCTCAAAAAGGGCTGCGTAGTAATGGATAAAAATATCCATGTTGCATGCAGGTACTCACATCCATGAACTCGACGTTGGCCTTGGGACCAGTGGTCTCATTGAGAATCTTAATAGCCACAGGAATCTTCACTGTTTCTCCTTCAGGGACCCAGATACCCTTCAGGGAAAAAGAATCACATGAAATCCGCACCAAGACATGTGTAACATTTATAACAGAAATGCAACTTGATCTGACCTCTCCACCTATTACTTACCTTGGAAGTTCTAGATTATTTCATTCAATCAACACTTAGAACTCAGTATATGTCACAAGTTTTCTGCATATTTGTTGTCTAATTTTATTACATGATGATAAAGTACATAGATAGTCTACTTTCAAGGTGTTTAGAATAATATGGATTTCATTTTGTTTACATGAGAAAAAAAACAGACAGTGAAGGAAGGGTAGAAATAAGATAGAAAACTCATTTGAATGATATCACAGACTCCTTGAGCTGTTGAGAAGGTAATTACACGTCAATAATTCTGATCTCAATTTTGATTTAGAAGCATGGGCTAAGTAATGTTGGAGGTTCTTTTCAACTTTAATATTATCTATGCTCAAACTAAAGCATAGTCTTATGTTCTTCAAGTTTCAGACTAATTTAAGAAATAATTTTCAAAGGTGATTTTTGTATAGTCAGTTTTCAAAGGCACATACTAGGGAATATTGAACACATTAATTTGTATATATTATTAAATTTTGTGTGTATATGAAAGCTTTCATTACCTCTGAAGTAAAATATTTACATATAATATTTAGATTGGCCATCATTAATTCTTTCTAGCAACATATAATTGTAATATCTTCACAGGATCTATACACTGGGAAAGAACAAAGTAGGTAAGAATATAGTTGGTAACATTTAAACTAAATATTAGCAATTCTGAGTAAAATGAATTAAAACATTTAAATGAGGATAATAATTTTGATAAGATACACAAAGATGGACAGAGGAATATATTTTAGAAGGCATATTGCCCAAAAGACAAGGAGAACATATGAATTGGGGGGTTCAGATTTTAATTTATTAATCCTGACATCAACAAAGACTTCTTAAGATGGTTTTAACATTAAAATGAAAAAAAAGACAAAAATGGACTTTTATCCCAGAATAGATAATCTTTATTTCATGTTTTCTTATTATTAACTGGTGTTGATCATTTAAAAACAAAAGAATTAACATTTTTCCTTTTGGTCATCCACAGTAAAACATAATATATGTGTATCAGCCAACGTGGTCATGACATGAAAAGATAAGCACAATTGTTCAAAACATTGATGTGACCGGATTTAAGTTCCTTGTGTCTGAACAAAGACCGAAGCAAGATCCCACTAAGTGGCAGCCCTCAGAGTGGGCTTGTGGAGCTGGCTGAGGGCGGAGAGCTCCCCACTGAGGGTTTAAGTACTAGGTATGGAGGACCACCTGAGCAGCTTTCCTTGAAAGAAGAGCAACTGTTTCCATTTTGACTGAGCCTGACCCTATTTCCTATGTACAGAGCTGGCTAAGACTTCTGTTTATCAATTGGCCTTAGGTAAATGTAGGCCACCCACCTAGCTCAGCTCACAATGATCACCTACTTCCCACAATTCTCAGTCAATCCTCCTCAAGCCACTCCCACATTGAATAAAAATCGATTGAGGCCATAGGTTGCTCTCTTTAATTTTGGAAAGCCATCTTTGTGGTTGGACTTAAAGTCCCTGGACTCCCTGATGATTGAAAATATAATTTAGTATCTTTATTTTTCCTGTGGGTTGCACTGAAAGTGGTAGATTGGAATCAACTTGAAGGGATCCCAACAATGTAACTTTGGGATTACAAATATTGGCTTCTTGGATGGAGACGAAGATCTGGAAGTGTCTCCTGCAACTAGGGGTTGGGGAAGGATTGAGAGGCTGGCCTGAAGTTTTGCCGATGAGTGGATCAGCTATGCTCATTGATGAGGCAGTGGAGTTGTTGATCTTTTCTGGCCTTTGGGAGAACAAAGCAAAGTCCACCACAGGGGTTGGGGGATGTGTATCAGAGCTGCACAGTCCATGACAGGGTAAGCAAGTAGAACTCGGTTACCTGCATGCCGGGGAGGCTTATCCTACCTAAGTCATCTGATTTCTTTCTCCAAGAGTGTTTAGACTGAATACTCTAGACCGGGGTTAATGTTTAACCACAGTGTGGATCTAGCTGAGAAAATGAGCTACAAAGTGGGCCTTTTCTTCTTTCTTTGACCACTTTTCGCTATCTCCTGTCAGAATTAATAAAGGAAAAATATTTTAACCTTCAAGAGGTAAATTTAAGGTTACATTTTTTATTCAGAACCTGTAAGTAAATGTATGTGTCAGATGTAAAATAATATTCTGAGCACTTGGTGCTCTAAAATTTTTTAAAATTCAAATGGGAAAAAAAAAAATGTGAGTCTCAATATCAAGAGGTCTACATTTTCTCATTGTAGATATCTAGGGTGGATATCTGCTGTTATTCAATAAAATAGCCATAGAGAGTTACTTTATAAAGATATCACATCTAACCCACTACTGTTGTGGAGTACTGGATTATATTGGAATATTTTGCTGAATTCATGCACCTGCAGTGTTTGGATGGCAATGGAATACCTATATCTGACAAAACTGAACAAAAAAAGGTGATATAAATGAAGGACAATTTTGTATCTGTAGATACAGAATAGTTAGGATAGATGTGTAGCTGCTTTCTCTTAATTCAATAAAAAGAAAGATCTGTACTAATAGATCTGTCTGGACAGGATATCATGTCTGCATCTTGTGCTATGAATGACTACTACAAAGACAGTAATATGCAATGTATTAATTGTTATAACTCTCCTACCAATCTGTTTTAAAGTGGTCACATTGCAATTTTTTTCTCAATAAAATTAATAAAAAATAAATAAAGATATTACATCAATATTAAAATATCCCTAAATATACTTTAAGATAAGAATAAGACATCAGTGAGAATTAATTTATCCTGCTTTGGAAAAAAAATATAGTGACTATTTTCCAGACCTGACCAGATAAAAATTCAACTATATATCACAATCTTATAATTTTTAATAATTTATGCTTAAGTACAACATGTGTCTATTTGGAAGGAAAAATTTAAAATAATTCACCAATAGTTTATTTTTCTATGGTTAAGAATTTTTTAGACTTTAATACAGTATATCTTGTAACTATTATTAAATTCATTGAAATTGACAACTAGCCATTTACATTCCAGGCATAAAATTCAAGCAAACTTAGAATTTTCTAAAAGTTTTACTATAAGTAATTTTGATAAAAATAAAATACTCATTAAAAACAAATCATTTCTTTGCAGCCCTCCTTTTTCTCTAATTTTGGTCTGCAAACATAGGCTAGCCAACATTTTGGCTCTAGCTTTCTAAGGTCGATTAAGACTCAGGACATATGAGAACTTGTACTGTAACATCATGTAACTCAGTAGTATCCCAAATTTTTTGATCAAGGAGATTATGGGGCCAAAGAGGAAAGTGATCGATGA